ATTTACTTGAAATTCATGGCTTAAAATGTCTAAATGGCAAAATAATTTCTAAAAGTTTGTTAATAATTAATAAAAATAATAATAAATACTTGTATGACATTATGTAATACATAATTGTGGGATAGTATATCATTAGTTTGACTTGGAAACAATTGATAGAATTTAAATATATATTATGGCTTTAATTAACACTATTTAAATAGGATTTAAAAAGATATTAAATATTTATAGCATAATATTTCCTTATTTTGTCCATAGAATACACTAATTAGAATTTATTTAGGATATTGAAATTTATAAATAAATATTTAAGTAAATATTTGACCCCTTTTTAGTAAATATATAAGCACATATTTGACCATTTTTAAATAAATATTATATAAAATATTTGACCAAGAATAAACACATATTCTGAACAGCTTTATTCATCAAATTCAAACTTTATTCTTACAATCGTTAAAATTTAAAAATATAAATTTGATTAAACATATAATTAATGGTAGAATTTTGGGATACAGTCTACTCATACTTAATTTGATTATTTATAATTACAAGTAAGATTAAAATTAAATAATGCTTATAATTAAGATTTAAAAATAATAATTTAATGTAAGTATTTTATATTTATAATAATTTTAGTTAATTCATCTTATGATGAATGCAAGACAAATATTTTGTTGTAAATTCTATGTATTTTTCAATTTTCTTTATAAAAGCTTCAAAACTGTAATTTTATATTAAAGTGAACAAAGATTATAGATTGTTTTAGTAATACTTTTGAAATGGGATTGTATGGATGGCGCAATTATTTTTATATTTTTAATTTAAAATAAAACTTACTCAATGACATTTAAAAAATAATGTGGAACATACATAATATGTCATAGTTTAAAATGCAATACACAAACCTGGCTAACGTGATGCGGGCCTTCTGTCCCCCCGATAGCGATACCCCTCTCTCACCGACTAATGTCTTGTCTCCGAACGGGAATAACTCAAAGTCTCGCTCCAAAGCGCACACCTCTACCACTCGCTTATATCGGGATTCGTTATATTCGGCTCCAAAAAGTATATTATTTTGAACACTAGTATTAAAACTCCAGGACTCTTGACATGAATAGCTTATCGATCCCACCGTTTCTATACTTCCCGACAGCAGTGGCAGCTCTTTTAGGATTGTCATCAATAATGAGCTCTAATAATTATTTTAACGTTACATTAACTTTCAATTATAATAGTTTACATACCTTTCCGGCGCCCACCGGTCCGATAACAGCCAAGAGATCGCCCGGATTTAAATTAAATGATATATTTTGAAGGGTTGGAGTAGTGGCCCCATGAGTGATGGGGCTACTACTGGTGGGAAATGGGCTTTCCTGTAATATAAATATTAAATTAATGTGATTTTAAATTATCACTATGTAATAATTTAATAAATATTTTCATACATCACTCCATTTGGCGGTTATGTTATTAAAGAAAAGTTTAGGCAATTGTTTATTATTTGTTGCATTTTTTGGTAAAACATTTATATTAACATTTCTTTCTTCTAATTCTAGAAATGTCTGAAAATAATAATTAATTGCTATTTAAATAATTGATTACAAAAACCATAACATATGTCAACACTACTTGTATGCGTCGACAGGAGACCAGTAGTTCAGCGCTGTTTTGTATAGCGTTTGGGAATTTGTCGGTCGCTGTTATCCGTATTGAACTAAACAAAGACATCGACACAAACACCGCTTTGGCTGTCAATACATTACCCGTCAGTACGTATGTTATGAATACTGCGAATAGTATTATATGGGAAGCCGCGGAAAATATAGACAAATTAATAGCCTGAAGATAAAATCCTACCCGAATACGACCCACCTCACTCCTATCAATGTAAAACAAAAATTTTTATTATGTTAGATCTTTTAAAATAAATCACCAAAATTAAAGTAATCAATAAAATTAAATGTCTTAACCCTATTATATTAACGTATTAATCTCTAATTGTATCATTTTTAATTGAATGGTAATTTCTCACCTTTATGTAACATAATCAAAAATTTATTGTATTATCTTGCTAATTAAAAAATATATAAGCAATTCAGGCAATATTGTCCCAATGTTTAACTTATATTGTATTCTAAATAAAATATATATAATTTTTGCATATATTTGTTACAGCTTTTAAAGTTGTTTAAAAATTTGTTTAAAAATGAATACATACTTGCGGGCGGTGGCCACGAGTCGGGCGAATGACTGTTCCCAGGCATACATTTTAATGACTCGCATTCCAGTAATTATTTCATTCATTAATTTTAGACGACTATCCGTTAACTGTGCGGTCGCTAATCTGTACGTCAATTATTTAAAAAAGTTAACTACTGTTAAAATACTATCTTTAATTTGTAAAGCAATAAATTTATGTTCCGAGCTATACCTTATTTTAGAGAAAAGTTTGCCCATAAATGCTTGAAACGGTATTAATAGTGCCAATAGTCCGACGCCAACGAAACAATAGTTACTCAAATATCCATACATTATATATACGGCAATCGCTGTCTGTATCGGCGCAATAATTACATAACTTACACTGAAATTAAACTATTTGATCAAGAATAAATTATAACATTTAATATTTCAGTGATACCGTAAATCTTGCTATTATGTACTGTATCTAGATTAAAAGTGAAATATACCTGATCAAAACGGCTCACATCGTTAGACATTAGATTTACAATTTGACCGACAGTTGTTTTCCCCATCGATGCCCGGCTCAGTCTTAGAGACTAATTAAGTGCACATTATTTATCAATCATGGATAAAATACTTATTTAACAAATAATTTACCTTTTTATACATTAAAGTACAACAAGAGCTCCTCATTCTCATAGCCAATCGCATCATCATATGTACAGTCGGGTGATGTATGGCCGTAGATAGGGCTGAGCACAGACACACACCACCCGCCGCCAGACATGCATTTAAATACGTGACATTCCCGGTCTGACTGAAAAAGTCAATTACAAATCCCAACAATAATGGTTGACCGATACGTAGCACACATTCCTACAAATATAATTTAATAATGTAAGTTATAGTACATAGTATATAATTTTTATAAACAACCAACCTCAATTGTGTACATCACTACTGATATCCAGTAATAGTTAGCGTACGTCCGATACAATGCTTTCCAAAATGTTGGACATTTTTTCTTACACTCGAGAATCCAATTGCTGTGAATTCAATTGTATTACACATCATATTTCCCGTCACTTTCACCAAACCCTATACTCTCGTACATACCTTTCCAGCTGTTGTACTATATGGTGCGACTCGTCGTGTCGGGAGCACCGGTACATGTCCTTTATATTGAGACCATTTTGTCGATAACCTCTGACGAATACCGGGTACACAAATCTGCAATTGTCAAAATATTATGTATCATAATCATTTAATGTTTTTAATATTTTACACCAGTTTTTTAATTAAAAAATTGCAAATCAGCATTTTTGAAAAATTAATTTTATTAAATTAAAATAATATTACAAATATTTTAATCTGGCATATTTATTAGTTTAAACATCAACAATTAATTATATTATAATTGGTAATATACTAGATGTACTGTACAAGAAAAAATAATTATTAATTATTTATGTTTTTAATGATCTTATTAAAATTCAATATACATACGCTAGAAATATTTTTTGAATACAATTTGCATTGTCCCATGCTGATTTATTAGTTATCTTAGACTCTTCTCGCATAATAATTGCAACTATTTTATGATAACTAGAAATTAATTTTTAAATTAATATAACATCAAAATCTTGACTTTAATGCAAACTAAACAAAAAAAGTAAAATGTTTATTTTTGTCAAAAGTTATCACGTTTTTATATTCGAAGAATTGGAATTTATTGCACACGATTCAAATAAATACAGCAAACAATTTTCAAACGTTATAACTTTTATCGTTAACAATAAAATATTAGTATAAAAAATTTTATTATTATAATCACAGCGTCTGAATGGGCACAAAATGTGCATTCAATAGGAAAAATTTATACACATATAAATGTTTATCAATGTTTAGTCAAACATACAGTTATAATAGGGGTGAGAGATAAAGAGTTTAAATAACTAACACAAAATAAAAATGTTTGTTAAAAGGCATTTATTTTATAAATAAAGTAACGATATATAATAGGAATGCTTAAAACAACTATGACTCTATGTAAAACTCATAGTAAAACACACCTAAGCTCATAGTAAAACGCACCTAGAGCACATTCTTAATATATAATGACAAGTATTTAGAGATTAACAGGGCACAACATATAAAATATTTAGGTACAACAGTAGAGTAGACGTCTTGATTATAACATATAATTTCGATAAAGAATTTCTAGAAAAAACCTGTTTTTAAAATAAGATATATAAAACATTTGCTCATCATGTTATGATAATTAAACTTTAGTGCAATTGAAAACTTGTTGTTATGTCAAACGTTTCTCAAAAGGTTTTAGAGAAACTTTTTGCGATTCTACTGTACTTATTGAACAAATCCATTGCATTGAATACATATGAATAGAAACCAGAATTAATAATATTGTAGCTTCTAGTTTTAATATTTATTTGATTTTTAAACATTTATTTAATAAAAGTTACTAAATATTAAATTTTAAATTTATTAAACAAATTGTTATAAAAAATGTTGTTCACTCTTTTAAACTACAATTCAATATGAAAATTGTAGTTCATAGGACCTCCACTTCACACCTAGATGTGTTCATCCTTTATTTCATACACCATTTGATACTTTAATTAACTTATTTTAAAAATTATAATCCATTTATTAATTTCTATATTTTGATTAACTTGTTTATAATTTAAAACTGATTTACGATTTAGTGCATTAGGTTTATTCAATAACTACAGTGTATTCTTAGAATCACAGCGTGTTATTGTATTATATAAGAGGATTAATATTAATTGTGTACATGTCTTTCAAGTTATAAGTATTTTTTAAAATGCACACGTTACATTACAATACAATCTCAGCAAATGCTGTATAATAAATGCCGTAATAATAATCGTTTGTTCACTTATATAATTGCTTTGACATAACATTGTTGAATTTTCAATGCTATAGTATCTCACTTTACAGTATCTTCCAATCTTCCAAAAAATGTATTTAGTTTTTAGTTTATATTAAATTAATACTCAAAATACTTTTATGTTATGTTTAGTACAATGTATAACAACACATTTTTTATTTAATTAAAGTATTATTAACAGAATCAGGGTCAATTTACATTCAATTACGGTATATTTTGCGCACAGAAGTACCAATAATTGGTACAAACAATGCAAACAATTATTGTTGTTTTTAAATTAATAACCCCATTTCAATTAAGAACAAGATAATGGATTTACACAAGATAAATAGGGAAAGTGTCTGGGATTGGGATCCTATGATGAGCTCCAGTCCCGGGGCTTAGACTTCATGTCTATTCTCAGCGATCAGGAGAGAGAAGCGGACGATAAGGCAGTCGCACATCAAAGGGATCTAATTGTGCGGACAATATCTTCGGATACGGCTGACTATAGCGAAGGGTCGGTCGAGGAGTTCAAAAACAATAAACCGATTACTGGACCAAAAATATGCGACGAAAATCGAGAGATTGGATCGATTGAGGGTCGGGTGTATTGGGAGTACATAAAAGCAGGCGCCGGACCCCTACTGTTTATTCTTACTTTCATGTCAACGATAGTATCGCAGGTTATATTAAGTGCCTCCCAATTATTTCTGTCAAGATGGTAATTTCATTTAATAATTATCATATTGAAATTATATAAACCTGTTTATTTAAGTATTAATTAATTATAATGAAATACAGGACTGAGAAATTCCAGGACAAGACATACCAGCAAATTAATCATAGTGATCAGAATAGGGATGCCATCATATATTCGACACTAATTGCAGCCCTATTTGTGACAGTATTAATCCGAGTAATCACGTGGTTCATGATGTGTATGCGGGCATCCGTGAATCTCCACAACAGTATATTCTATACTCTATTACGGACTCCCATATCATTCTTTGACAACAACCCCGTCGGTAATTTAAATAAACATTTTTTAATAATGATATGTAGAATCATTTTAAACATGGTTAATTTATATTGAAAATTCTAAATTTGATATTTGTAAAACGGTTGACCAACCTAGGGCGTATATTAAACCGATTTACTAAAGACATGGGAACAGTAGACGAAAGACTGCCCTCAGTTGGATACGAGCTGAACATGGTCATTACCTGCAAACATAGTTAAATGTTTATTAATAAATATTTATAATATTCTACATTCACAGGCGTTAACTGAAATAATAGGTATTGTTGTTGTGGTGGCGATAGTAAATCCATACCTGACAACAGCGGCACTGTTTTTGTTCATAGTTGCTTTATTGGTGAGAGTTGTGTACATTAAAGCAGCGAGAGATATACGTAGACATGAGGGTATCGGTAAGTTAATAATAAGGTAAAATATAATAAAACATAAAATGGTATATAAATTATTTGTACACAATACAGCTAGAAGTCCGGTTTACACACATGTAAGCACAACGCTGAACGGGTTGGCCAGTGTTCGGGCCTATGGAGCGCAGGTAGAGTTTGAGAAGCAGTACACAATTTACCAGGATGATCATACGGCCATGTGGTTTATGTATTTATGCACAACCCGTATGTTAGCCATTGTTATGGACTGGTTTAGTGTCGTGTATTTAGTGATTGTTTCGGTAGTATTAATGGTGTTTTATGAAGGGATTGGCGGTGGAAGTGCTGGACTGGCCCTGTCTTCAGGTAATACTAATTGTAACTACTATTATAATGTATTATTTAAAATTGTTTGTTAATGTTTTATTAGCACTAATGTTACCGGGAATGGCTTATTGGGGCGTAAGGCAGTCGGCGGAGTTGGAGAATGAGATGACTTCAGTCGAGCGCATCATTGAGTACTCAAAACTACCACAAGAGGCGGCCCTCACAGCACATGATAGCCGTAAACCCCCTCCCGATTGGCCACAGAAGGGAGAGATAGAGCTCAAGGATATGAGTTTGTGTTACGAGGGATCAGACAAACCGGTGCTCAAGAACTTGAATTGTGTTATAAAGAGTGGAGAGAAGATAGGGATCTGTGGGCGGACGGGCGCCGGCAAGTCGTCCATCATATCAGCGCTGTTTCGTATGGTTGAGCCAAAGGGGAAGATAGTTATGGACGGCATTAACACGGGATCTATAGGTTTGCATGAATTGCGGTCAAAGATCTCAATCATACCTCAAGAGCCGGTGGTCTTCACGGGAACCGTTAGAAAAAATTTGGATCCTTTCGGAGAATACAGCGATCAATCGATTTGGAGTGCTTTAGAAGAGGTGCAGCTGAAGGGGGTGGTGGGGGACCTCCCGGGCCAGTTGGCCGAAGGGGGCGCTAATTTGAGTGTAGGTCAGAGGCAGTTGGTATGTCTGGCGCGGGCTATACTGCGGCACAATAGGGTACTAGTGCTGGACGAGGCGACCGCT